TCAGCACTCATGGGGGCGCCGGAGCGGCAGGCAGTTGCGCAGGTCCCAGGCATGTTCATTGCCTGATCTCATGACCGCATTCCTGGCCAACGGCGATGATGATGTCCAGAGGACAGTCAGCCGCTGTGCACACTCAAAACACTCTACAGAGCAATGCAGTAGGGCATAGGGAAGGAAACGTCCGGCTCTGCCTACATGGTACGATGGTCAGTACTGCTACCAGATGCATCGGCGGCGGCTGAGACTCCCAGCTAAAATAAAACAAAGGTCGCTTTTCCTAACTCATGCATCACAAGGTTAAAAAAAAAGTGAGGGAAGCAGAGTGCAACACCTCAACGCCACAATCCACCTAGTTATGCCACGTGCGATAGGTGGCTGCACTGAGCCTTAGGCCTAATGAGTCGCTTGACAAGAGCTGGCATCCACCCAGCACCCAGCCTAAGTGCAGAAGAGGCAGCAGCAAGGAGACATTCACTCTGTAAGGTGGCCCTACTCGCCGCACACAGCAGCTTACCAAGTGATGGGCGCCCACAGTACCGGACGGTGGCACGACGTCCTGGCACTGAGCCGCAAGACAAAACAGCAACGATGCCCAGCTCCCTGAGCCCAAAGAGATGAAAGAAGCTGTTCACAGAAAATCGGACTACCCACGAGGCTTGCGTACTCACTCGCTTCTGGCTTGGCCTACAATCCATGTGCTCTAAGCTTTGCTCACCCCAGGACGCAGACCACATGGCTTGTGTACCAACTCAACAATGTTCTTTAAAACCAACCACACATACACACAAAAAAAAAAAACCGTTTCTAGCAGAAAAAAAACTCAACGTGCCGACAAGTTCAAACACATCACGACAACCAATCTCCTCACTATGAACAAAGCACACTGCCGACGCTAGCAATGGAAGTCCCGCTAGGCCTACTCTACCCCAGCTAAATAAAATGGCTGCTCCGAGCCACGAAAACTGATTTCCGATGCTCCGAGAGCTCCATGTTGGGCTGGCAGTGTTGCAAAACGACAACACGGACACAGAACACGTGTTCTCGGAACACGGACAAAATAGATGCGGTCAAAACTAACCAAACGACACACATTTATTTAACTGCTTTTAGATCGACGATATTGTCAGGCGAATTCATATGCATCAATTGTGATGTCCACGTGTTACAACCTTACACAGTATTCCACAAAACTCAAAAACATAACAAACACAAGAACACACACAAGGCGGCTTCATCAACGCTTGACTCACCACAAGGGCCCACGGCAGAAGACCTGCGGTTCATTGCAGACCCACCGCTAGAGACAATCGGTCACACCAACCGACACCCGTCAAAGGGGACCGCTTCTCTCTCATCTGCCGCCACCCAGGCTTGCCGCCAGGTGTCACCGTCAGCGCTACCGTTCTAACCATGATGATGATGGTTGTGATTATAAGAGCTTGCGAGCACAACACCTATTGCTCGACGGCTGTTATGTGTGAAACATGTTATGTGCGAAACACGTGCACCACGAGGTGCAAACTACATTACAGGGGGTGTTAGCACCCCCACAATCTAAACTAGGGAGTGTTCCTAAGATGATTGGCTCCATGAAATTGCAATGAATCGAAATATTTCCAGCTCTTCACAAGGAGCCCCAAAATAATTTTTCATGTCCTTGAATGTAAGTGCAACTTGTAAGTGCAACTTACAAGTTGCACTTACAAGTTGTTATTCTGTTATTGAAACAGAACGGAATTTGGGAAAGAGGCTCTTGCTCGAGTCTTGGCACATTCAGCATACGCCTGCCAACGTGAACCGCTCGCTGGGAACAATGCCTTCGGTGTACGTTCACGGTCTCCGAAACGTGGTGGAAAGGGAAAGCCGGAGCCGTGGTGAGAGAACACGACGCGACGACACTTCCATGACCAAGACAGTCACCCCCTGAGGAAGGGACCGAGTCGGTCTCGAAACGTCGGGCTCTAATTGAACTGTGGCTGGAGCAATTTCAATTTTCTAAACTTTTCTACCCAGCCAGACAGATTGCTGTCAAAATGTTTACGTTTAAGTGCAACTTGTAAGTGCAACTTGCTTCTACTCCAGGATGGGAAGTTAGCTGCTCCAGATTGCCCCAGAATGGAAACTTTTGCTGCTCCAAAGTGCTCCGAAATAAAACATTTTGCTGCTCCAAAAATTTCTTCTCCTAATTAGGAGACCTCGGTAACATCACTGGGTTTTGAAAAAATAGGGTGGTGTGGGAATGCAGAAGTACTGCATGAAAAGAAGTTTTCACACTTGTCAGACTTCTCAAGAAAGAGTTATTGCTTAAGGCATTCCTGTTCAAATAGATTAAAAAAAGCAGCATTGACTTGACTTTATAGCTATCATCACCTGTATGGGCCTCAATAGCTCTACTATAAATTCATAATCTGTTCTGACAGAGCAAGTTGTGACAGGTAAGAACACTCATAATTCTGAGCATATGTAGGGTCAAGGAGAATACCAGGGTGCAGCAAAGTCACTACAATGTTAAATGAAACGCTGTTTTGTAGTTGAACTGAAAGGCGGGCGAGTTGGAACTTATGTATAATTGGGCAGCGCACAAAAGGGAACATACAAGAGCAGAAAACAGGACAAGCGCTGGTCTAACAAATGAAAACTTATTTGAAGGAAAGCATATATATATATGTATACAAAAAAAAACATGCACCATGCAAGAATACATCCGATTGATGAAACGAATTTCTTGCTCGGATAATGCAACAGATGGCTGGCTAACGCAATTGCCAAGACACTTCACCATGTGGTACGCCTCCGCAATCTCACGTGTCCATTGATTATGATGGTGATCGATGATTGAAATCTGCCCAAAAAAAGGAGTGCAACTGTACTCACGGCAATGACTAATGAGGTGAGAGGATACCTCTCTTTAAGGAATTGTCATGCTCCCACAGCCTGATATTTACGCATCTGCCAGTCTGTCCGATGCAGACACTGTCGCACGGGTAAGGAATTTCATAAACTGTACCGTTCGAACACGCAGTGTACTTAATGTGCTTGATTGAGCTAGCGTTATCAACTGCCTTTGTATTTTCTTTTACGCATCTTTGAATTTTGCCACATAGACTACCCAATTTATTATGTGTATTCATATATGTGGATGATCACCTGATTTTTTCGGATAGAGTTAGTAGCATTCATAGTTAGGTGAACATTCTCAAAGCATTTAGAGAAAGGGGGCATGGTCTATAGTTCACGTGCGAAGTTTCCAATGAAAAAGACGAGCTTCAGTTCTTTGACCCAACTTTGCGAATTCAGGATGCGCATGTCTGTTGTTTATATGCTCCCAGATCGGCAAAGCCCCTCCTAAACTTCAAATCTGCTCATCCAAAACCGGTTATAAATGGTACAGTCAACTCATGTCTTCATTCAGCTGTTGCAAACTCTTGTTTCCATGCCATGGAAGAGCGTTTTCGTAATCAGTTTGATTGGCCTAAGACAGCAGGTTTTCTCACTTCTTTTTTGGTTTCAGCTTCTGAGTGTTTACTAAAAGAGTAAAAAGTAATGCACAGTCTGCCAACCAGCCAGTAACCTCTCAATGTGAGTGAAAGCATTTATCTGTCATTCCCTATGTCCATTCCATTTCACATAGACTGAAGAAAGTCGAGGGGGGGGGGGGCAGTATGGGGTTGATATTGTTTTTTCAAGTGGAAATAAATTGGGTAGCATATGTGGCAAGTTTCAAAGACACCTAAAAGGTAATACTAGGGCAGTTGATAACACTTGCTCAATCAAGCACATTGAGAAGTACACTGCGTGTTCGACCGGTGTAGTTCATAAAATTTTTTACACGTGTGGCAGTGTCTGCATTGAGCAGACCAGCAAATAATGAATATCAGGCTGCGGGACTATGAAGTTTAAGTTGATTGTTGAAATAGTAGTCCAGAAACCTTGTAGTGTTACTTTTGTGCCAGTGAAGGGCCTATTTTTAAATAAAGTCGCGTTTCAGTGCTTCGCATAGGGTTAGCACACTTCAAATTACCCACCTCAAGAAACGGACCGACTGCACTAACTCGCGTCTCTGTGGTCATGCACAACGTTGCCCTGCTTTACTGCGCTAGTAGCAGCAGACTGAAAGCAGCGGGAACCACAGTAGTAACAATGGCCATCGAATAATTTTCCGTCATTGCCTTCGAGATTGCAGACGCTTTTGTTTCAACTGCGCCACGCTAGGTGGCACCACCTGTCCCGTGTAACCAAGCAAAAATGGAATTTTTGAACCACTCGCGCCATTCCCCATAGTAACGTTCGGAGGTTCTTTTTTCCATGAATAAAACTGAAATGAACAAGCAGCATTTTATTGCATCTCTTGATGCACGGAAGGTTCTTTATTTAGTGCAGTTAGATTGATTACTAGTGATTATATGTAGACGGTCCATCTGATGTCATCGAGATTATTTTGAGAATTTCCTACTGGGGCGCTTGTGTTCTTGCGTATATACCTTAATTTCTCAGTAAGTAGGGCACTGCTGTTGATAATATTGTCATTTTAGATGTCATACATTGAGCTTTCACTCTGATGAAAATTGTCATTTGACTTTAGTGTCCCTTTAAAGGGTGAGGTATCGTCTCGCCTCGTTAGTCATTGCTGTGAGTGTGGTTGCACTCCTTTTTTTGAGCAGACTTCAATCATCGATTGCCATCATAATCAATGGACACATGAGATTGTGGAGGCCTACCACATGGCGAAGTGTGTTGGCAATTGCATTAGCCTGCCATCTGCTGCATTATCCGAGAAAAAAATGTGTTTCATCGATCACATGTAATCTTGCGTGGCGCATGTTTTTATGTATACATTTATATATATGCCTTTTTTCAAATAAATTTTCACTTGGTAGGCCAGTGCTAATCTAGTTTTCATCAGTGTGCGGCCCAATTATGAACGTTGTTTTGCCTGCAAGCTTCTTTGTGGTGTCTTACGATAGGGGTGGCCATGTCTACAAGTTTATGGCATCTTGCAGGGAAGAGAACAAGGTGAGCCACTACATCGTAAACCGGGTGACCCAGATGGAGCAGACCCGGTTCCGCATTGGTGACCAGATGTTCCCCGACATACCGTCCCTGCTCAACTTCTACAAGCTGCACTACCTGGATACCACACCACTCGTCAGGCCGGTAAGTTTTATGGAGGTGGAGTGGTCATTGGAGGGTTGCAAAACAGCTTTTATTATTGCTCTGAAATGAAGCCGCTGCGTTTCTTCATCGGGTGCTGCTCAACAAGTTCTTCTGACATCGACTTATGCACATCTTTTCTCGCGGCACTTTGGGCTGTTTTTTGTTTAACCTTTGCTTCAGCTTTGCTTCTCTTAGTTGTAGACCAAAACAGATGAAAGGTGGGGAAAGGTTCCTTTTACTCATTTATTCTTGATACCTCAAAAGTCCCACATGGGAAATTACATGAGGGGTGGGCCAACAGAAAAAAACTGGTGGGTCAGATTATATTTCATGACTTGAAAGATGATCTTGAACGGCAGCCTTAAATTGAGGAATGTCAGTGATGAGGGCTATACGTGAAGGGAGGGCATTCCATTACAGAGATATACATGTTCACACATGAAATGCCAGAAAATGACAAGTTACGCTTTTTGGATTTAAGAGTGTTTTTTAGCTCACAGCACATCTGTTGGTGTTATGAACCATGTGCACAGAACCCTTTACTTCCTTCCGCTCACAGCAAGTTAGTTAAGCGAGGCATAGCACGAACCTGTCTTGAGAATGCCTTAAATAGGTCGAGCACCCACAATATCTCTGCGAGCTTTAAAGCTCAAGTTTCCCGGCTTAAGGCTTCGGGTTTCCCCGAGGTGTTTATCGCTTTTGTTGCTGAGACTATCCTGCGTACTAATAAGGCAGAGCAGAGGCAGCGACAGAATCCGAGCAACACGGATACAGAGCGTGAAAGGATAGCTGTGATTCCATACTAACACCAGATATCACACAGGCTCAAGAAAATCAGAAAACGAGTTGGAGTTCGTGTCCTGTTCTCGGCACCCTTCAAATTAATCAGCCTCACCAAATCGACAAACCCCTTGAAGACGCAGTCATCAACGGAATGCGGAGTTCAACATAGAAACAGGTATGCGGCAGGCTCCCGGAAAGTTGTCTATAGGACCCCCCTTTCGTGCGGTGCTTGTCATGTCGGAACTACCGGAAGGTGTCTGAACGATCGGCTGAGAGAACACGCTGACAATGTTAGAAAGGGGAAAGATGGTTTTCTTGCTCAGCACTGCACTGAGTGCAACTGTGTGCCCCTTTTCAAGGACACAGCAACGCTGTACAAGCACAAAGATGAGCGCAACCGAGTCATTGTCGAGGCCGCGAAGATGGCTCGCGAACAGGTGTCTTGCATTAGCAAGCCCTCCGTGTCTCTGTCCGAGAAAGAACTAAAGTTCCTCGAAGGTTTAGGTGCGCGCAAGTAGTTATATTATCTTTACCTTTTTCTGTGCTTTTGTTTTTTGTTTTGGTTTTCTCTTACTCATGTTTCGCTCTTTGTGCCATATGGTTTTTGTCACATGGTTACTGTCTCCTCTATATATTTTCGTGCTCTGCGCAATAAACTCAGCCGGAAGTTAGCGCTCGTGTCCTTCGTGTCCTTCTTGTCTCTGTGTCATTGTTTTGTTCTCACGTTATAACTTTCGGCATGCTATGTATAGAGGTTGGTTGTACTCTGTGCATTTCTCTATCGCCTGATTGATAGTACTAATATGGTCTATTGTTAAGTAGCCTGTATGAGATCCTGCTTGGTCCTTTAATTGATTGAACCCTAATGTTGCCCTAATTATATTTGCTAATATTTTTGTGAATAGTTTGTAAAGAATGGACAGTAAGCTGATCGGCCTGTAATTTTTCAAGTTCGTGATGTCTTCTTTCTCGTGGATTAAGGCAATGTTGCCGTTCTTTGAAGATTCTGGTAGCCTTCCTGTCACGAGACACTTCAGATATAAGGTGTCCAGATTTTCTAACACAATTTATGTGCCATCTTTTAGAAAGTCCGTTAATACCTTATCCTCACCAGCGGCTCTGCCTCTGCATTCCTTCTATGGCGTTCTTCCCCTATTGTTACTGGTGGGATGTCTGGTTTCTCTGGGTACAAATATCTGTAAAATATCTGTCGAACTTCTCCACCACCTCAACTATTCTGTATATATTGGTTATGACATTGCCTTCCTTGTCCCATAATGCATACATTCGTTTTTTGTCTATGCACAGGTTTGCCTTGGCAGCTTTTAATCTTGTTGCGATTTTTATAGCTTGCTCAATTCTTTTCATGTTATACCTTCTATTGGCTACCTTACGCCTATTGATCAACTTTGAAAGCTCCGCCAGCTCTATTTTTTTTATTTTTTTTATTTACAGATACTGCAATCACCATTTGGTGATTTTAGCAGGGTGGTACATGAAGTTAGTCATGAACAAATGGCAAGTACAATGACATAATATATACAGGTTATACAATGTGTATAGGGCAAATACAAACTTCAACTGGCAATAACATACAATAAAAAATAGGAGACTACAATTATACAAGCATGTACAGTGGTATGTAATGCTATTCAACAATTCAACTGGTTAGTGCACTTTCTAATTCCGAGGAAAACAATGCCAATGAGGGTGCTGAAACAATTGCATTAGTTAGTTTGTTCCACTCGACTATGGTGCGAGGAAAAAATGAATACTTAAAGCAATTATTGCGTGTGGGAAAGGGGGTTATGGTGAGGTCATGTCTCTGTCTGGTAGAGTAGCCAGAAGAAAAAGAAAAAATATCGGCTATGTCTACTTGATATTGGCTGTTAATTAGTTGGTACAGAAACTTAAGCCTTGAGTTACGGTATCTTAATGATAAAGGTGAAAGTTGAGCTCTGCTTAATAGGTCAGTAACAGAAGTCCTCGAAAAATTATTGTAGACAAAACGAACTGCTCTTTTTCGCACTTTTTCTAATTTGTTAATGTTAGTCTTAGTAAAAGGATCCCATATAATAGCGGCGTAATCTATTATTGGTAAAACAATTGATTTGTACGCTAAAAGGCGGACAGAAGGAGTGGATAGTTTGAGAGCACGACATAGAAAAAACAGTTTGTAAGTTGCATTGGCCGTTACATGTGTAATGTGTTTGTTCCAGCAGAGATAATTCGATATGTAAAGCCCCAAGTACTTATAATTAGTGACTTCAGTCAAAAAGGTGTTGTTAGCATTGTATCTGAAATGCAAAGGTTTTTTCATGTGTGTAATTCGCATAAAAACAGTTTTATCAAAGTTAATGACCATCTGCCATTCCTCGCACCAGGAGGCTACTTTTTGAAATGCCTGATTTAACAGAAGTTGGTCGGATGTGCTATGAACCTCAGAGTACAAAACACAGTCATCTGCGTAAAGTTTCACTTTAACAGGAATTTGTTCTACAATATCATTAATGAACAAAAGAAACAGTAGAGGCCCTAGAACTGAGCCCTGGGGAACGCCAGAACCAACCATTACATATTTTGAGTTGCAATCGCGAAAAGAAACAAGTTGTTGTCGTTTAGTTAGGTAGAAAGAGAGCCAGCCCATTAACTTTTTGTTTTTAAGTATTTTCTCTAATTTAAAAAGTAATTTTTTGTGGGAAACCTTATCGAAGGCTTTGGCGAAGTCCATAAAAATAGCATCTAATTGTTTGCCGTGGTTAATACTTTTCGCAAAGTCATGTACGGTTTCAACTAGCTGAGTGCAGGTTGAAAAACCTTTTCTAAATCCGTGCTGATGTCTAGTTAAGAAATTGTGTTTGTTGAGAAACTCTACGATATGATTGTGTATTATATGTTCTAATATTTTGCAACATGTGGAAGTTAATGAAATTGGTCTATAGTTACCGACCTGGTTTTTGTTTCCCTTTTTGTGTAATGGTTTAATTCGGGCAGTTATCCAATCATGCGGTAGTTCACCATCGAGTAATGATTTACAGAACAGCACGTACAAATACTTTGATGTCCATTCTGCATACCTTTTTAAAAAGTCATTGGGTATGCAATCAGGGCCAGGTGATTTTTTCGTGTCTAGTTTCAGTAACATGTTTAAGATACCCCTTTCCGAGATAACAACATCAGACATGGGAGGTAAGGAGACTTCAAAAGTTGGCAAGGTACCATTGTCTTCAGTGTAAACAGATCTGAAGTGTTCATTAAAAAGGTTCGCGATTGATTCATGATCACTTATCTCTCTGCCATTGTCATCAAATATTTCGCATTCATTTGACTTAGGAGAAATTGTTCTCCAAAACTTCTCTGGCGATGAAGTAATGAAGCTAGGTAAGGACTCACCAAAGTAATGCTTTTTATCTGAAATAACCTTAAGTTTAATTTGAGATGTCAATTCTGCAATTCTTTCTTGACAACTGAAATCAGCACAATAAGTTTTACTTTTCTTTTTTAATCGCTTTACCTTCCTTCTCAATTTCAATGTCTCCCTAGTTATCCACGGGTTCTTGGTTCTGGGCTTTTTACACGTGGTTGGGACATAACGCTCAATACTTTTGCTTACAATGCCCGTAAACTTAATCCAAAGATCATTTACACTATCATCACTATCGGCAAAATCATCAAAATGAAAAGAAAGGATATCGAGTATCGACTCATCATCGGCTTTACGAAAGTTATAAAAAGTAGTCACCTTGGGTTTTTCACTGACAGAAAGATTTGACACGGTTAGCACTACAGCAAGGGGATCGGAAATACCGGGGACAATGTCACAAACGCAATCATGTGTTATATTTTCAGAAACAAAGACAAGGTCTAGAATTGATTTCGAGCTGCCTTGAATCCTTGTGTAACTTTCAACTACCTGTGATAAATCATGTTGAAAGGCAATGTCTATCATGGTATCTGCGGAAGCATCACAGTGACTAATGTGTGTCATTGTTGGCCAATCAACACCTGGCAGATTAAAGTCACCTGCCAAGATTATTCGGTCACCCGGCTTTACATAATTTTCCATATATTTTTTTAGCTCATCGATAATATTGACTGAAGAACCAGGGGATCTGTATAAAGCACCCAATACATATCTAGTGTTACCATGATTGACCTTACAAAAGATACATTCGGCATTAGGCACATCTGGCATTTTAATTAATTTTAACCCCTTT